TTGGTAATGGATGAGGTTACCAGGAACATACAAGGGGATATCCCTTAGTGTATATTGTTCGCTGATGATGTAGTGTTAGTAGACGAAAGCCAGACAGGAGTAAATAGGAAACTAGAGTTATGGCGGCAGACCTTAAGTCTAAAGGTTTTAGATTGAGCATAACTAAAACCGAATACATGAGATACGATTTTGGCGGAGTTGTAAAGGATGAGGTAGATGTGAGTTTGGAAGGTCAAGTAGTGCATAAGAAGGATACCTTTCGGTATCTGGGATCGATGCTACAGAGGAATGGAGATATTGATGCAAACATTAGCCATAGAATCAAGGCAAGGTGGATCAAGTGGCGACATGCTTGTGGCATTCTCTGTGACATGAGGGTAACACAAAAGCTAAAAGGCAAGTTCTATAGAACGACGATTAGACCAACTATGTTGTATGGAGCAGAGTTTTGGCCTATAAAGATTCGACATGTTCAACAACTGAGTGTTGCAGAAATGCGTATGTTGTGATGGATTTGTGGTCACACAAGAATGGACCGAGTTTGGAACGATGATATACGTGATCGCCTAGAGGTAGCATCAATTGAAGAAAAGCTTATCCAACATCTGTTGAGATGGTTTGGTCATGTCCAAAGAAGACCTCCAAAGACACCAGTGCATTATGGAGTCCTAAGCCAAGTTAATAATATGGGTAGAGGTAGAGGAAGACCGAAATTGATATGGGAGAGACAATAAAAAGATATTTGAAAGCTTGGGATATACCTAGAGATTTATATTTGAATAAAAGTACTTAGAAAGCAGCTATTGAAGTGCCTGAACCGTGATTTGGGACTCTTGGTGGGTTTCAACTCTAACTTACCCTAACTTAAAGGCTATATTGTTGTTGTCTGTCTATTTTCTATCTATGTTGCAAAATCGGGTATAAACATGCTAAAAGATGTGCATTGTTAAAACTCTAGAAAATCAAGCCAGTTCAGGGTGATATCCATACTCAGGCGCGCCAGAGCCTAGCAGAACAAATAGGCCAAGTGTTGGTTGGCATAGGCCAATTGATAGCCAAATTCCTCCTTTGGGAAGCTTTCAAGTTAACTCTTTGTACTCAAGCAAGCTCTTATATGTGCATAAAGACCGAGAGAAAAAAAGGGAGAAACGGAGCAATCTGCATCGCTTGATACAGACACGGGGCAAGCACCGTTGAGTCTCGTTGACCGCGCGGGGGCGTCAGCCAGTGCTGCGGTCTCGTATCGTATCGTGGAGCTTGGCCATCGCCATGTGTGCAGTGCGCTGTCAGTCTGCCACTGCCCTGAAAACAACCGGAGAACGAAGATGACGAATTGTTTCGCGCCAACGCGGTGGCATCCAGATCCACTCCGCCTCTCCGAATTGAACGTCCCATTTGCGGGCTAGCTGATCAAAACGCAATTACGCAAGTAGACAGCTTCGCCAAACTGGACTCAGATTCGGTGCCTTTCCTCTAGCATTGCACGGCGTACCTTTCGGCCCTCTATCCACCGTCGAAAGAGAATCCAATGGCTCTCATAAATTTTCAGCACATCTTTTAGCTTTTCTCAATGAAAATGGGCGGGAGCGGGAGTGGCGGCTCATCTGCGCGCGCATTGCGCCGGTCTCCCGCGCGCTGCGCTGCCGGCGATAGCCGTGCCAGTCTCCCACGCGCCGCGCCGGTCTCCCACGAGTCACGCCGCCCGTCGGCGGCTAGGCCAGTCTCCCGTGCGCTGCGCCGCTCACTGCCTGGACAAGGAGCACTGAGCAGACCAGCATCCTACGTAGGGATGCCTTCTAGGAGCACTGCAACTGCAGGACATCATCGAGGAGGACCATCCTTGTGAGTTGCTTCACAGATTCAGAATAGAGCCCCTTCTTAAGTTTCCTGTCAGATTATAACAGACCTAATGTTGCTATGAGGCTGTGATGCTATTGACATGATTTTGATTGGTTCGAAGGATGCAAGTCTAGCTTAGTCTCTCTGCTATAACACCATTTATTGTCATGAAACTTCAGTACCAAAATCTGTAGTAGTCCAGTTACTCTGCATCTATGTGTTATTTATTGTTTACAGTAAATGTTTATCTTGATAAAAATTACAAATCTGCAATCGTATGGTAGTAATTGTTTGCTGTAAATTTTGTTCTTTGTGACAGAATTTGACAAGGAAATTTGTGTTAGATATTGAAACGCAATGGTAGAACTTGACAAGGGAACACCTCAAGTTGATTTGAGGTTTGGAAATCCAGATGAGGCTTGGCAGTTTTTGGTGGCATTTGGGAGTCATACAGGCTTTGATGTGAGAAAAAGATATAGAAATTTAAGAAAATTTGATAGCAAGGTGACTTCATGCAGATTTGTTTGTGCCAATGAAGGTCATCGAAGGAAAGTGGAAAGAGAGCATATGACAAAGTGTTTTAGAGCTGAAACAAGAACCGATTGCAAAGCACTCGAATGACAATTACATTGGACCGAGGGGAAGAAAATTATGAAGTCACTTATGTCGTCCTTGAACACAATCACCTCATTCACTTGCCTGAAACTCGACACTTGATGGCATCACAAAGGAAAATGATGGCAGCAACAGTGATGAAGTTCTGGAGTCTCAAGATTACAATGTCCTTGGCAGTTTTACTCAGCTCATAACAGCTCTAACTTGTGCCGAAGAAAGCCTTCAGTTCTAGTGTGTATAGGCTGGTTAGATAGCATTTTGGACAGAGCTAACTATAGTCTTTTGAGATCTAATTATAATCTTTTGTGGCCTAACTGTATATCTGAAATGGCCTATATAATTTCAGTAGAAGCACACGTGCTGAAGGTGCTTTCAATGATTTTGGACTTGTGAACTTGTGCTTTGGAAGTGGAGCACACAAATCTCCAGTGTGCTTGATCTGTCTAATAATTATGTGCTTGTGAAAATAGCTTTGTTTGTGTGCAAGTCTGATATATTTTGCCATCAGTGAAAATTTGGGGCTAAACATGTACTCAGTGTATTTACTAAATAAGGGTCATTGTATCTAAACACACACCAACCAGACATCGGTAGAAACAAAATCTTGCATTTTCATTTCTAGATTTCAGTACTTCACAAATTCAGAATAAAAATCTCTTGATTCATTATATATAGACCACAAGAATCTGCCATGTTTACCAGAAGTGGTTTCTATCCAAAAGCTAATTACATTAACCATGGATTCATCAGAAACCATGGTGGCAGCATGCCTGCCCAGTCCATCTCCATGGCAGCAAGGACCTCCAGGTCGGTGTAGTGCTGCAGAGTTAATCCATCGAGTCTGGGCCCGAGCTCCATCTTTCCTGGTCGGCGCGAGCTCCATCTTCTCCTGGCCGACGCGGGTTCCGGCCCCTCCGGCGAGGCGCGAAAGGCTGCAGTGGTGCGGGATGGGCGAGCATGCGGCGGCTTCCCGAGCTGCGGTGGCGTGAGCAACCGGAGGGCTGCGGGGGCGCGAGGCACTGCGTGGGGAGCGGGAGGAGCAGCGGTGGCGCGCGGCGCTACAGGGCGGGGAGCTGTGTCCATGTGGCCCAGCCTGTGAGGGGAGATGGAATTTTTGTTTAATCCGATGGATTCTCTTTGAACGGTGGATAAGAGGCCGAATGGTACGCGGTGCCTTGGCAGAGCAAACCCACCGAATCTGAGTCCCGCCAAACTACTGCCACCCGTTGCTGAGGGTAGTTACTACTATAAAACTTAATTTTGCGTCCCCGTTATATACTTGAATGACGAGTAGCCCATCTATATAAGTCCACTCCGAGTATAGAATTGTATCCCTTAGATAATATCAGAGGTCCTGCAGTTTATGCCAATTATAGCTACTAATAGTTAATTAGGTAACTATTGGTTATTATTAGCTGGTTTGTACGTCCAACTAATAATAAGATAGCTACGGAGTAACAATTAGCTAGCTAGACCCCTTTGAATCGAGAGAAGGTAATTTATTAGCTGCTAGCTATTAGCTCGATAGATCCAAATAGAGCAATAGTTACTGCACTAAAAATCAATGATCAATCCATGTTATATAAGAGATGTACAAGACTATGTGTTGACAAGTTCAGGTTGGATTTCTTGTACGTAGTAGAACGTTTTTCTAGGTTTTAGTCTCCACTCCCCCAACTCGATCACGTGCAGTCCTATTATTTTTCTTTTAGCTTCTCTTTTTCGGAATTAATGGTAACCAAATTGCCCATAAAATAGCCATGTGTATAGCAATTTCGTCATTGTCAGTATATATCTGACATTCCATATCTTCCAATCTATCTAGCATTTCGGAGGTACGTCCACAAAAGATGAATATATATATTTTGTGATCGGAGAGAGCGGCGATTAAAGTTAAAGGCTGATTATTAGCTGCCCTCTATGAAGATTTCGTTCCGTGGCTCAATCGCTGTCGCTTCCGTGAGACCGTGACATTTCTATATCCAACGCCTCGGAGCACCTACCCTACCCTACCGTGTAAATTTTTCCGCAGCGGGAGAGCTCAACCCGTTGCGCGGGCGGGCGGATAATTCATTCGCACACGCATCCGCGAGCTCCTACGGCTCCGCGGCACCCCTTCTGCTCCTCCATCAATCATTCGTGGCCGCCTCCCATCGCAGCCCCCTCCGCCGCGCTGCGCCACCTTCCACGCTCGCTCGCACATGCACCCGGTCGCCAGCGCGAGCCATGGCCGCCGCCTAGCCCTCGCGCACATGACAGATGACGACACGGCGTAGGTTGTTGTAGAGCGATTAATTCCCTCTTTCTTACTAGACGGAGTGCCGTGGCTCCGTTCGTGAAAAAAAGAGAGTCGAAACACTGTTTCGACGGATTGGCTAATTTGTTGAACTGTTTCGCTGAAAAGTACGCATTATAGAGATTATAGAGAGAAAGAGAGAGACGCCGGCCGCCGGATGATGATGATGATTAGGCCGCAACCGCAGCAACAAGCCGGCCTGCGGCTCCGGTCGCTAGGAGCAGGCGGAGGCGCCCGGCCGCCGGGGGCCATGAAGTCGGCCACCTCGCTCCTCCTCGGCGCCGCGCTCGCCACCGCCTTCTTCCTGCTCTACACCTCCCTCTGCCGCGACCTCGGCGCCGCCGCGCCCAGGTCGGGGTCGCCGACGCGGTGGGAGCAGGAGACCGGCAGCACGGCCGCCGCGGGGGTCGATCGTCGGGAGGTGCGGGGACGCCTCGTCGAGCCCAAGCAGCAACAAGGGGCCGCCAAGGGGGAGGAGGGCAGCAAACATGCGGCCGCGAGTAGCGGCGATGGTGACGACGGCAGAGGCGACGGCGGCGCCACAGCAGAGGAGAAAAGTCAGAGCAAGAAGCAGCAGCAGCGGATTGTGATGCCTGCCACGTCATCAACCCAGAAGGTAAGCTTTGTCTTCCTCACCCTGTCCCTGCCTTTTGATTTGTTCAACAAAAACCAGCAGTTGGTGGTACACTGAAGCATACTACGTCAACAAAGAAAGTCGTCAATATTTTATCACCAATTAAGTCATCACTCTAACATCTTTGGCGGAAAAAAGAAGAAAAAACCCCAACATGTTCATATATCAACTGAACCTGAAACGGCTACACCAAACCTAACATGGCCAGCTGAATGACGATTCTGTCCGTTAGTGATCAGTGTTCACAATTTCTAGTTAATGTTAATAAGGGTCAATCACTCCAGTTAGTTATTATCATTAAGACATTAACTTACAATTGGTCAAAGATCGAAGAATAGCAAAGCCAACTAGCATTGATCAATCAGAGCGCCTGCTCTTGCTTCAGTGCTTCAGAATTTACTCATCTTGTCACGGAATATTCATCATTGAGTTTCGAGGTAAATTTGATGTTCAGTAACTCATACAGTATGATGTTCCCCACCACCCACTGACCCACCATGGACAGCAGCAGCAGCAGAAGAGCCCACCACCACCGTCCCAGGATCTGGCGGACCTGCTCCGGCGAGCGGCGACGGCGGACAAGACGGTGCTGATGACGGCGATCAACGAGGCGTGGGCAGCGCCAGGGTCATTCCTGGATCTGTTCCTGGAGAGCTTCCGGCACGGCGAGGACACCGCGGAGCTGCCGCGGCACCTGCTGATCGTGGCCATGGACGGGAAGGCTTTCCACCGGTGCACCGCCGTGCACTCGTTCTGCTACTGGTTCCGCGCCGACGACGGCATGGACTTCGCGGCGGAGCAGAATTACATGAAGGGGGACTACCTGGAGATGATGTGGCGCCGGAACCGGCTGCAGCAGACCGTGCTGGAGCTGGGCTACAGCTTCCTCTTCACGGACGTGGACATCCTGTGGTTCCGGGCCCCGTTCCCGCGCCTGCCGGTGGGGGCGCAGGTCGTCATGTCGTCCGACTTCTTCGTCGGCGACGCCGACTCGCCCTACAACTACCCCAACGGGGGGCTCCTCTACGTCCGGGCGTCGCCGGCCACGGTGGGGTTCTACCGGCACTGGCAGGCGTCGCGGGCGAGGTTCCCGGGCCACCACGAGCAGTACGTCTTCGACAAGATCGTCAAGGAAGGCTACGCCGGCGCCCGGGTGCAGTTCCTCGACACGGCCGTCTTCGGGGGATTCTGCCAGCACGGCAACGACCTGGGCAGGGTGGCCACCATGCACGCCAACTGCTGCGTCGGCCTGGACAACAAGCTCTTCGACCTCAAGAACGTGCTCCAGGACTGGAAGACCTACAGGGCGCGCGCCGCCGCCGGCAACGCGCAGGTGTTCTCCTGGCGGGTGCCCGGGAGATGCATACACTGACCGGGGTGAGGTGGGTCCATTCTTGCCTGGACTCTGGAGGGGTTGAGCTCATTTCTGATTGTTGGCCAGATACAACTTAACAGCTATAGTTCATTTTTTCCCTAGTGAGTATATATACATACATTTGCGAAGCTTTTTTGGAATATTATAAATAAAGAATTATTAATGACGCAAACACCATTACATTTCATTCCAATCCGCGCATATATGAAATGCAACGTCCAAGGACAAGGAGCAAGCATATGCAAGGCTGCCTAGAGCCATGATTGATGTACAAAACCCAAAATGTATTTTACAAGCATTACATCCACTCATGATCATGGAAACAGGGCTCCTTCCATCCCACAACACCATCCAGCGGGGGTTACAACAGCTCATCAGATCACGGTGTGCAACAAAACAGGACTGAAAATGTAGTTGGCGCGAGGCGAAATCTGAGTTCTAAGAATACCGCCTCAGTTCAACACACAATCTACACATACCACTACTACCTGACCATGGATAGCTTCCGAAAGAATGCAGAGTCAAGCTTGCCTGCAGCAGTTACACAGGGACGTCATTCGTCTAGCCAATGCTCCAAATCAGTTGGAGGCTCGGATGCTTCTAACGATGATGGATACCTACCATCATCCTCTGCTTATTACTAGCTACAACAAAGACCTTGCTTCGATCTTATATTTTCTGTGCCCTTCTCCCCACACTGTCTTCAGCCATATCCGTGTCTTCTGACTGGATGATCTCCAGGTCCCTGATATCCCTCTTCAACACATTACCTAGCTTGGCAACTGCCTCTGTTTGTAGTTGTAAGGCCTGTGATGTAGGCAATCACAAGTCAGGTTGACAAAAGACCAGACTATCTAACAAGGACGAGGACAAAGTTGCACCACTTACCTCAAGAAGCTCTGTAACACTCCGTTCATCAACTTTGGCCGAACTAGGAATATAAACAGAACCACCAGCACCACCAGTGCTAGCCAGAAGACGTGACGTCGAAAGAAGTGTATTAACCCTCTTAGACAGATCAGCACTAGGTCCTTTTAGCTGCAAACAAGACACTAAAATTGATGAGAATCCTTAATCGGCCAAAAAAGTAGGAATAACGAATGGGGGGAAACCTAACCCGCTTTAATATAGCAACCAATCTTTCATACAAATCAGCTTCCTCCTTTGTTAAAGGACTGCGGTAACCCCGATTCTCCAACGTCTCCACTATTCTAACAAGCTTTTGGCAGTTCACAAAACAACAACAATAAGAGTTAGATGCATGGGCTATTAGGCACGAAAACTGAACTGACACCACCAAGCTTCTATTAGGAAACAATGGAGAGAAAATATCACCCTTAAAAGACGTCTCTGAATAACCAGCTCTTGTTGCTTCAATCGCTGGATCCATGGATACGTGTCAGCTTGGAAATGCCTTTGCAGCTGTAATAGAAAAATATGTTAGTCAAAAGTGAGTAATGGAAGCGCATATGAAAACATCCATATGAAGCCATACCTTTTTAACATTAGAGTGAGTCATGCTCAATCTATCAGTATCTGAAACAAGGACTTCATCTTGAAGCTGCAAAGGAAAAGAACAAGTACTAAGTCTTGAATAACTTTCAAAGCTAAAAACCTTGTAGAGGGTTTGGAAAATGGCAAAGATAATACCATCAGAACTACTGAAAAAGGTTACAAAGTTAAATGCAAAAGCTGAAAATATCAAGGTATCTTTTACTTTTTTTTCACACCAAAATACAAGAAAGTGGAGCATGCTTCACCCAGAGCATTAGAGTGAGACAAATATGGATAATTCAAGACTTAAATATATGCCATCAATATACATGAAGACATATAGTTCTATCCAGCAGGAAAATAAATATCTAATGCAAATGTGCCGCTTTCACTTTAACTGCTTGATCAACATGTGGGAGAATTGAATGATCACTAGGCCATGGAGAGCAGACAGGTGTGGCCAATGTGATCCTGTAATTGAATGAGAACGTAAAGATTGAAAACAAATTGCTATAGCATAGAAAATATCACTGGCCATGAAGTCTTTTTACTGTCAATAAAGGAAAGAGTAATTATTCTTTTTACTTCTGTTATTAGACTATTATTATCATTATCAATTCAGATGTTTATAACTATATATCGAGACAAATAAATAAATTTGGAATAAAATGAGGTGAACAGTCAATTAGTGGCATAAATACAGTAAACCATGTATAGAAATGTATAAAATGCCAAGGCTGATTTTTTTTCCTTTTTTTAAAAATTTAGGCCACAAGCTAATAATCTGATTTCCTTCTTGGTTCGTTCTAACAAAAACAATAAGCCCAGTATGTAAATGTAATGCATCACTTCAGCCAGAATTATTGGAGATTCAGATGAATGGAGCCATGGACCACATATACAGGGAAGGTAAAAGAATGTATTCTTTGTCTTTAACAACTACTAGCAAAGTGGATTGCTTAGCCTGTTCTAGGTCCTTTTCTTTCACTGAAGGTCAACCCTGCCTTTTCTAGGTGACACTAGGCAACAGCCGACATAACCAAAGAATTAAACAAAAACTACGGTCCATTTTGCTTCCTTGGATTTTTCTTCCAACTTGAACTGTATTAGATTCTGACTTCTGCTTTCAGAAGTTTTTTATGTTATATACAATGCAACTTTTTTTTTGTAGAATGTCATTTTGTTTTTCATCCTATATCCACATGCTTAACAAAGAACATTTCCTCAGTAAAGATGTCATAATTATGTAAACCATATGTCATAAACTTTACAAATCCATTTCTGCAGTGATACATTACAAATATCATTTTTCATAATTCAAATCACAAAGTCTAAAAGGTTCAAAGAAATGCATTTGTTCTTGCATTGCCCAATTAACCCAAATCCGCCACAAAGTCTACTCTTAAGTGCTTTTAACATGCACATGGGAATTGGTTCACCTTGACAAGGAAATCCAGCACTTCTGAGAACCAATGTTACCTAATGTATGCCTAACAGTATATCCACATGCTTAACAAAGAACATTTCCTCAGTAAAGATGTTATAATTATGTAAACCATATGGCATAAACTTTACAAATCCATTGTTGCAGTAATACATTACAAATATCATTTTTCATAATTCAAATCACAAAGTCTAAAATGTTCAAAGAAATGCATTTGTTCTTGCATTGCCCAATTAACCCAAATCCGCCACAAAGTCTACTCTTAAGTGCTTTCAACATGCACATGGGAATTGGTTCACTTGACAAGGAAATCCAGCACCTCTGAGAATCAATGTTACCTAATGTATGCCTAACAGTATTGATTGGAAAAGGATGTGACAATTTTACAGAAGTAACACAATATTATTTCTTATCCATAGAGAACATGTCATACCAAACTCATCTAGAATATATAAGCATGCTTGTTAGAAGTTCATATATGAGCATGCTTGTATAGATACAAAAAGAAGGAAAAAACTGTACTATAGCACACAAAAATTTTAAATTTACATGATTCCATCAAATCGTAAATCCTAAAAGGGCATAAATTCCAACATTATACCTTAAGCCGATGGGAAAGATCTTTAAAACCCTGCACAAGCTGAGGCCAGAGCCTCTCCCTATCTGCACTATCCATGCATTCAAGTTTCCCCATTGCTTGTGCCCACATAATCTGCCACAAAGTAGAAGTCACAAGAAATTAAATGTTATCAAAGGAAAGTTCAACAAAACAGAAGATAGCAAATTATTTACACAAGTTTACACAGGTGCTTACATCTGATGCAGCAACTGGCTTCACCCTTTGGGAAGGCTCTGTCACGCTGAACAACAGATGCTGCCCAGATCAAAACAGACAGAAACAGATCAACCCAAATCTAGTGCACCACAAAGGAGAACATAACGAGAAGAAATCTCACCCTGAAAGCATAACGGGGGTTACCAGGGTCCTCCTTGTACGCATCGACGATGGCCTGAACTCACGCGGAAACAGAACATTCATTTAGCACTTGCTCCTCAACATTCAAGGCGAATCTGAGAGGGGATTCCATCGATGCATACCTGGATGTCGCGGTCGGACGGGGAGAGCGGCAGCGGCGCAACGGGGGCCATCTGGGTGGTGATTTGCGCGCCGCCACCTCCTAGCAAGCCGAACGGCGACGGGGACGGCGTCGCCTGCTGCTGGAACCCAAAGGGCGAAGGCGAAGGATTCCCGCCGAACGCCGGCGCCGAGGAGGGCGTGCCGAATGCCGAGGTCAACGAGGGCGTGCCGAAATTAAGCCCGCCGAACGCCGGCGCCGAAGAGGGCGTGCCGAATGCTGAGGTCGACGCGGGCGTCCCGAAGTTCAGCGAGCCGAACGCCGAGCTCGTGGAAGCGGTCCCGAACGCTGGCGCCGACGACGACGCCCCGAACGCCGGGGTCGTGGAAGCCGTCCCGAACGGTGGCGTCGACGACGGGGTCCCGAAGGCGGGCATCGACGAGGGGGTGCCGAAGGCCGGGGTGGACGATGTCGCGCCAAATGCGGGGGTGGTGGAAGGCGTGCCAAAAACTGGGGTGGTGGAGGGGTTCCCGAAGACGGGAGTGGTAGATGGGGTCCCGAACATGGCGGTGGCGGCGGAGATCGCCGGCGTCGAGGTTTGGGATGGGGGTTTAGGGTTTTCTTCTGGGGAGAGTGGCGCTGGGGAAAGAAGGAAAAGGGGAAACCAAGGAGGGGTCGGGGCTGATTCGAGTTTCGAAAATTTTCGGGGGTCGTAGTATAGTTTTCTGCAAATAAATAAATGCTGCAATTCGCATCGATCACGATTCACGGCCCATCAGCAACCCGTTAAATTGAAAAAAAAAAATTAATCAGCTTATCTGTTGCATTCATTTCGACCCGTTGAGGCCTCGCTGTAGCGTTTCTCAAAAAAACACACAGATAATGGCAATTGGTGCGATTGAAGAAATTCGGAAATGTTTTCCTTCTATAATTCTATCCATCAATATTATTGTTCGAAGCATTCTCCAACTCCAAGAACACAGTTCTGGGAGGGAAAAAATATATAAACTTAACAGGGCTCAGGGCTGCCACAACATTTGAGGGGAATGAAATATAAACTTCATATAAGCTTGAGGGAGCGGAATACAAACTTCATAACACCACTCATTTATATGCAAAAAATGCAATTTTGCTCACCAAGGGAAAATACATCTACTAGAAATTCACATCCACGACAAACAAGTAGTCAGAAATCTTCAGAAGTGGAAGTCAATATGCACTTGATGCTTCTTCTTCTTCACTTGAGCTCTTGAAAGAAAATGGGATGACCTCTTCCTCTTCTTCTTTCCGGGGTCAACCGTGAAAGCAAGATTTTTGGTTGAAGACTCCCATCTCCCTCAAAGATTAACATTTCATGAGCCTGAATCTTGCTCACAACCTCGTCAGGCTTCATGTTATCAAGCTTCTTCTCTCATGTAGAAGAGCAAAAACTATCATGTGCCGTCGGGAAGAGCCATGAGAATCTTTCAGTTAATTTCACCTTCATCAATTTGAGCACGATTGTAACACACTGACAATGAGTAACAAATAGTTTTGCATTACCAACAACCAAATTAGTACAATAAACCTGCAGACTATAAAATCCCTGATGTGAACATAAGTTTAACTGAGAAAAAAATCAAACTAACTGGAGTAATTTAGAAGGCTTAATTCCAATTTCTGCCTGCCTGTTTACACCATGAACTTGCACAAATAGAAGTAATTCACATCCTTTATTTACAAAGTAGCCAAATCCTTTTTCTGGCTGTACTTCCAAACAAAGGCTGTGTTCGGCTAGTGTAAATCGGCTGGCTGGGCTGTCGGAGGCCCGGGCACAGCCGAACGGCTGACCTACAAGCCAACCGCCCCCCCGGCGGCATTCGCACGGCTAGGGTTTGCAGTCGCTCGCCCCTCAGCCTCTTTCCTCCGTGCGGGCCGTGGCGGCCGTGAGCTCCGCTTCACCGTGCCCGCCCCAGCCGCCGTCAGCGGATCCCCCCCCCCGCCTCTCTACGTCGTGAGGGCGCCCCGTCGCCGTCGACAGCCTTCCGCGACGACCGTGAGCTCCGCATCCCTCCCAGTACCCGCAACCATCGATGCCCCGCCGCCGGCGACAAGGTAACCCCGCGTCCGAGGCCATCGTCGCCCCCCCCTCCGGATCTGATTCCCACGTGCTTGTTTTGCAGGTATATCCCGACTGCTGCCCACGGATCCGCATCTCAGCTCACCCAAATCGCCTGCCGCTTCGCCGGATCCGGGGACCCTAGGTTTGTTCTCGTGCACGTGCGTCCGTGTTCACTTGATTCTCGCAGTGCAGCGCTCACATTCGTGATGTTCTTATTCTTATTGGGATTATGCAACGGTGTAGCTTTACTGTGCTGTCCTGCTTTGCATCACGCTGCTTTACCGAGCCATGCTGCTTTGCATTGCTTTGTCAAGTTCGGTTACTTTTATCTCAAGGGTGTCATTTCCCAATAGTTATATCTCTCTTAATTTTTAGAGGAACTAGTGACTGCTAAACAGAATTCTTGCTTGGGGCTATACAGCTGTTCCAAGAACCAATCCTGACTGAGATGTTGTTTTGCAATGTATACTCTTAGCGCAATGCTCCTAATTGAATTGGCCTTAAATTTTAGGTTGGTATGGTATTAATTTCATACAGCAGTGGCTACTTTTTGACGATTCTTGGTCAATTCATTGCATAATGGCTCACTTCCTTGATTTGGCTGCAGTTTGCTCTGTTAGTTCTGTTTCACTCATGCTATGCAAAACTACTGTCACACATAGTTAAGCTGAACATGATCCACTTTTGTCCACACATTATTTTACTATATCTGCTAACTATATGCTTTAGAAGCAGTATCTTGGGTTATGCACCGGATACCTTACTATGGATTGTACTGTAATATATACTATCACTTATCCTTTTTTTTTCTTTATCATTGTTGTTGTACTTATTACCTATGGTTACCCATAAACTATGAACCTTAGAACTAATGCCAAGGTTGATATCATGCAATACTTGACACTGGTGGTATAATACAAACATGCTGTACATACGTGCTACTCAAACATAGAAGACATATTTTATGCTATACCACTTGTACACACAATTCTTGATTAGTTTTCCTGTATTTGGATTGTATCAATTGATCTTGGGACGTGATTATGAACTCCTTATTCTAAGAAGAGATTACCTGGTGCATTATTTACAAGGTGTTTTGTTTTGTTTTTCACACTACAGCGCTCTCATTTGAACTATTACCCTTTCTGCAGTGATTTTGTGGCCGTGCTAACAACTGGTGCTCAACGTTACCCACACTGGCAGCATCGTCCTCTTCGTTGTGCTCTTCAACTGAAGCCAGGCACTACATTCTCCGCTCAAAACGCGCTAAGCGTTTTGTCAAGGCACGTCCCCATTTCTTACGCCCTAACTCTCCTGTTTGTACCTCTTACAACTGCTGCATTTTTGTTGTATGCTCTATAAATCAAACCAAACATTTTCAACATGGCAACAGATGAGCATGAATTGTGCTAACTGGGATGACGCCACCTTGAGGACCTTTCTAGAACTAGTGATAGAACAAAAAAACCTATTGTATTGGAACCAGAAAGGCCTCACAACCCTCAGCTAGGTAAATGTGTATCTAGCATTCAAAAATGCAACGAAGTTGCCGTATAATAAGAAACAGCTGCAGAACAAGTTCAACGAGATGAAGCGGCATATTTTAATTGGCGTGACCTTCAAACCCACAATGGCCTAGGCCGTGACCCCAACACAGGACACGTCACAGTTGACCCCTCGTTTTTTGAGGGTGGAACGGGGTACTAACTTCTAACCTTATTCCTTTCTAACCCCCCTGAATACGAAGTACTAGGGATATTCCCATTCTACTTGTTCTAACCAATCGGACCCATTACACATGTGCAGGAAAATAGCAAATCTGCGGGGGAGCGGACCAAAATTTCTAAATGCCTTGACCTACTGATCACTCTTTGGGGACACACCCCACGACGAGGGGACGTTGCTCTCTTCTGGTGGACATCATCGCAAAAGGACATCTAGTACTAATAGCCATGATACTCCACACAAAATGTACCAGGACCCCGTAGATCTCCAGAGTGTTGGTCAGTCCTCCAAGAGATCCACTAGGGAATACTCTATCAATAGCCCTCCTAGTAAGAAGAGTGCTTCGATTGATGACTGCCTCAACGACCTGACCGACATCATTAAAGACCATAAGCTACAGAAGGCCCGTACCGACAAGTAGAAAGAGGAGATGGACAAAGTGAAAAAGATTTTGAAAGAAGATAGTTTGCTAGAGTCTGATGCTATGTTTGCTCACGCTTTAATTATTTGCACAAACACACTACAGTAGGAACTTCCTGACCATGGAAACAAAAGAGGGTTGTCTGAACTTTCTGCAGATCTGTTGGGAGGACAGGAGATCTAGATCAAGTAGATGTTATCCGAAGAAGCGTTCCCACTACTGCAGTTATGTAGTTTTATTTTCCAAACTGTGCATGTTGAGTTGTCCTCTGTCAACAATATTTGTCTAAGTTGCATCGCTGTAATGTGGTCTGTGGCCTGAACTTTGTGTGCTATTTTTTTCTGGAATCCATATAAAATGTGATATGTGATGTACATATCTTTGTTCAACACACATTTCATTTTTTGATGTGTTCTGTGGTGTATTGGGTCTACATTTTCAGGCCGAGGTAGATGTTGCTATCATGACCGAGTCCCCAGGTATGAATCCTTCTCTACATTTGTGTGCACATAGGTAGTATATGCTACTTGAGTCCTAAATTGCTGTTAATTGGTGTTGTAGGTTCACCTGCAATTGCTAGCAGAGTATCTCTATTAATTGGTATTCTAGGTTTAGCTCTCCTGTAATCCTTCATTTGTTCCTAAACAAGAGAAGACACTATTATTGTAATATTGAAACGTGCAGACCCTTCATTTGGACTAAATTAGCATGAGTTAAGAATGAACCTTGCTTGGGACCCAAACCAATTTGAAGGTTCGTATTTGCTGCCTCATTGACTCATTTGTTCAGAAAGTAGCAATATGAGTTAGGACTACTTCATGTCAGCACCAATAAGTTTGCATACAATAATCTAATATGGTCTTGCAGATGAGCAGTAGTGAGGAGTCCAACAGCAGTGACATTTCTAGCGACGGATCACACATTTTCAACTTGGCTGCTGTTGTTGTCGCGCTTGCAAGGTACAAAACAGCAGTGGCCAATGCGGCTCCAGTTGCCAACCCTAAACTCCCTTTCCCAAGATGACCGGACGATAGTAGATCCAACTCAATCTGAGGAACGAACGAAAGTGCCTCGACAACTTGCGTATGTCTCCTGATGACTTACTTGGGTTTGGACTCAAGGGTACACGACAGACAGGATCTCTAGAAACTTTAAGTCTATATGTGTGGACTTGTGCTCACAACAGTGCAACTAGAAGGAGCAGGGATAGATTCGAAAGGTCTTTAGATACAGTTGATAGGAAGGTTACTCATGTAGCCAAGGTTATGTGTAGGTGGGCAGACACTATTCTTATTCCAACTGATAACACTTATGCTGG